CCTTCCTTGTTTTTTATGAAGCTAAAGTGGTTTTGAGACCCCAGACCTCTTTTCTCCTTAAGGTGGTCTCTTCCTTCCACCTTACTCAGAACATCGTGCTGCCTTCACCTTGTCCTGCTCCAAAGCACCACCAAGAAAATATCTCTACACTGTTTAGATGTAGTACAGGCAGAGTGAGTTTACCTCTTTGTCATTCAAACTTTGAATTCTCTGTTTGTCCTGCCCTGTGGGCTCTTACAAGGGCTGTCCTGCATCTCATTTCACATCTCAAGGTGGGATAGGCATGTTATCCCTGTTGAGGACTCAACTTGTCCAGTGAATGTTTCCTGGGCCTTACAGCACCAGCACCTCCTCTGACGCTGACTTCAGCCATCAGGTGTTTCAAGGCACTCCTTGGGTTGGGAACCTGTTTGCTTTGTTTTAGGGCTGTTGGCATTTTTGCTGTGTTGTACACCCCTCAGTTATATTGCACAGGGATGTCCCATGGTCAGGATTTATGGAGCCTATGTCCTGTGCTGTTCAATGAAGGAATAAGGATTTTTGATTTACATTTAAAACACTTTTCTTGGAGTACAGTACAGTACACCCTACCCTCTGTCCTGTCAACAGAAAACACGCCCAGACATTCCCCAGCTACCCCTGCTATCCTCACGCGATCACTCATCCTCTAGTCACAACAGAATAGGAACTAATTGCTTTGACAATAAATATGGCCACATGCCCAGAATTAGATTGTTTATCCACTGTTGTCTGCTGGAATTAAATATTAGAATTCTTCCTATTTTTCCAACAGTCGCCGCTGCTTGTATGCTTCCATGTCATCAAATCCTCGGCCACAACAGAACAGAAACAAAGCTCTGGGACATAAGGCTCCATTCACACTAGGGCATTTCAAATTGTAGGTGGAATCTCTGCAATTCTCCCTGCGATTTGAAAACGAGCTGTGAAAATGTGAAAACACGCAATTGCTTGTTCAGGTGTCATTTATTTCACCTGAAAGGAGGGGCGTTTTTGACACGATCGTGGCATGTTTTTCTGCGTGACAAACACATTTTGCTGTGATTTTACCGCAATTTTACCCGGGATTTTACGTTTTTACCACTAATTTTGCTGCTACTTTACCCACAATTTTGTTTTGATTTTACTCACGATTTTCCTGCAATTTTACCCTAGATTTTGCAGCGATTTTACCCTGATTTTTGCACATTAATACCTGCGATTTTGCCGCAATTTTACCCACGTTCAGGGTGCATTTTTCATAGGTTGTGCGACTGAAACGCATTAAAACTGCAGCATGTATTTTTGATGCATTTTCAATACATTTCAGGCCTGGTTCACACCAATGTAGATTGCTTTTTGTCCGTTTTGCAGTGCATTTTGCACACGCGTTTTTTCATTTTTTTAAATTTTTTTGGCCCACTTATTGCTGGGCAGATTAAAAATGCAAAACACATCAAAACCATAACACGTGTGTGTTTTTGAAGCTTTTTGCTGCATTTTCAGTGCATTTCAGGCCTGGCTCACAACAATGCAGTTTGTGTTTCGTCTGTTTTACTGTGCTATTTTGCAGTGCGTATTGCGTTTTTGCATGCACGTTTTTGATGTATTTTGCTTTTTTTGATTAAAAATGCAAAACACATCACGAGTGCATTTTTTATGTGTTTTTGCTGTGTTTTCAATGCATTTTAGACCTGGTTAACAAAACCCAGAAAAACCAATTCAGTTTGCGCTTTGTCCATTTTGCAGTGCATTTTTGCATGGGAGTTTTTTGGCTCTTTTTTAAAATTTTTTTTTGGCCAATTTGTTGCTCGGCAGATTAGAAACGCAGATTAAGGCTCCATTCACATTAGGAAATTTCAAATTGCGGGTGGAATCACAGCAAATCTGCCCATGATTTGAAAACACGCTGTGAAAATGTGAAAACACGTGATCGTGTGTTCAGGTGCCATCCATTTAACTGGCTCCTGAAAATGCGGGGCATTTTTGCTGCGATTATTTTTCCACGAGACAAACATACCAAGATCGTGCAAACAAAATCTCAGAACACACATCGCCCAAAAAAAGTTCCGACCATTTCTGGGCATCGCACGTTTTCACATTTGCACAGTGCGTTTTCAAATTGCGGGCAGAATCGTGGCAATTCTGCCTGTGATTTGAAATGCCCGTGTGTGAGTGGAGCCTTAATTTGCATTTTTAATCTGCCCAGCAACCAGCTGGTCAAAAAAAAAAAGCATCAAAAACGCATGTGCAGAAACGCAAAATGCACTGCAAGAAGCACAGTACAGATTTTTTGCTGATCACTGTATTAGTGTCGCCGGCGACTTCAGATAGCATTAGCTTCAGTTAGCGCCCCTCCCAGATAGCGTCAGATTGCCCGTCAGTACACCAGTTGTCACATTTAATCCGATTGCCAGGAACACACTCACATACACAATAAATCTCCATTGCTAGTATAGTGTCTGAATGGATCAATATCTTTGATCAGATCAGAACTATACCAGCGTTCACATTAGTATAGTGTCCCCAAATATGCAGCGTTAGCGAGATCAGCCCAGGCACCTGCATTTAGTCCCTACGCTTACCCCCCACTTCTCCCCCAGCAAGTGCAGTATCAGTAGGTCACTGTCACTTGATACATTGCACACAAAATCAGGCCTGATCTCTGCTAGCACTTGCCGGTAAATGTTTTTGTAGCGGTTCAAGCAGTCTCTGATAGCCAGGTGCTCTTTTTTCCTGTGAGTTGCACTAGGTACCTATAAATTTATTGGCCAAAATGTAAATGGAAAGGTACTCTAGTGAAGAGGCCTACAGGATTCTGAGCATGTCAAGTGAGAGTGAAGGGAAAGACTCACAGGCACAATCAGCCTCAGAATACGAACCTGTAGACAGCAGCAGCACCCTGAAAGATAGTTCAGATGATGGAGAAGAGGTCCCTGTTACGATCAGGTGTAACCAGGGGCAGACTGACCATTTGGAAACTCGGGCACTGCCCGGGGTCAGTAGGGGGCTCCATGAGATGCCCCTGGTATCTTTTTCATAGGTTTTTTTGAGTTTGGGCAATGATCCCCTATTGCCCGGGGGCCCCATGAGTTGTCAGTCCTCCCTTGGGTGTAACTGACCCCATTCCCAGGTTGCTGAGATGTTCCAAATGCATGATGACGCTCATATGCAGCAGAGTGCAAGTACTAGAGCCACTCTACCTTTTGGTGAACTGGCGAGCACCAGCGGCCTAGTACGTCCTGGTCTGTCACATACCGGAACTGCAGTATCACTTAGTGACGTGGCGAGTCCCATAAGTGCAGTACAAGCTGGTGCGGTTGCATGCACAAGTAGTGTCCCCCACAGCCACCAAGAATTCGCACACAGACCCGTATAGCCCCTAGTATCCTTATGGATGTGCTTGCAAATCCCGACTGGCAGCCCACAAATTCTGCAGCACCCGTACTTCCCCCATTCACTGCCCAACCCGAAAATCAGGTGAAAACAGCAAATTGAAATACTCCCCTTGATTTTTTGGAGCTGTTTTCCACAGAAGATCTGTATGCATTGATTGTGGATCAAAGCAATTTATATGCACAAAAGTTTATCACCGCCAACCCAAATTCAAAGCTTGCCAGACCATTCGCATGGAAACTCATTACGGTTTCCACATTTAACTGATTCCCAACCAAACTATAGCCGAAGGACGGTTACAGCACGGTTGTGTAATCCTGGGATGACATCCATGGATGTCATTCCAGGACACGCCCCCAGCGGTGTTCGCTGTGTCCAACAGGGTACGGTAAATGGCCAATCAAGACTTTTTTTTACCACGTGATCAGCTATGTCCAATGAAACAGCGAGCACCGGGTATATACAGTTGCCGGTTATTGGCTGCACTTTCCTCATGCTGTCACAGCGTGAGGAAAGTACTGCCGAGAACTGGCAATCATCAGCAAAGGGATCGGCACTGATCATCAGTGCCCAGCAGCACCGCCACCTATGCAACTCAGCAGTGCCCCCTGTGTCACCTCATCAGTGTCGCCTCATCAACTCACATCAGTGAAGAAAAATTACCTGTTTGCAAAATTTTATAATAGATACAAAGAAAAACTTTTTTTTTCAAATTTTTTGCTCTTTTTTTGTTTATAGCGCAAAAAATAAAACACCCAGTGGCGATTAAATACCACCAAAAGAAAGCTATATTTATGTGAAAAAAAATAAATTTAGGTGCAGTGTTGCATGACTGCACAATAGTCAAAGTAATGCAGCGCAATATTGCAAAAAAAATGGCCTGGCCAGAAAGGGGGGTAAATCCTCTGGAAGGAAGTGGTTAAGAAGCACGTTTGGTTTGTCGGGCTCAGGCGCAGTGTAGCTCAGCTTCCCACATCACACTGACCCCTCCATCCTCCATCTGCTCTCACTTGTGATCCCCGTTCGCAGTGGTCAGGTTTGTGTGAGGGGTGAGGACAGGCTCAGCGGAGGACTCTGCAATAACTGGGCTCTGAGCCTCAGCCAACGTTCTTCCCAGATAACAGAGCTGAATCTCCCTCCTGGAAATCGTAAACCAGGAATTGCACGATACAGCCAGCCCAGTTCCATTTTCTCACGCCCCGCCTCCACCAGCCACCAATCACCAGCCCAGAGCGGAAGACGCACGCGCGGCCCATTACGCAACCTCACGTCACGAACCGCTCTGGAACGTCCCGCACTTACTTCTTTCCTTTCTCCCTCCGCACGAGCGAACTACGCTTCCCGTCGGCCAGTGCGCGCCGAGACGTCATTGCGTCACAGGAATTGCACGAGCGCAGTTCCAGGCAGGCGGTAAACCGAGAGGAGTGGAGGGCCCGTGTTCGTGGTACACCGAGCAGGGAGTTCGGCGGGCGCCAGACCTAGGGGACCAGACTGTCCCGCTTCTCCGGACTCGGGGAAGAGCGCCTCTGCTGACTGCCTTGTCTACAGACCTGTACAGCGGGACGGCAGAGCCTCGGGCCGGAGTGACCCGAGGAGGAGTCGGCCGGATGGCGGCAGCCGGAGGAGGAGGGTTAGGCACGGGAGGCAAAATCCGGAGCCGGCGGTACCACCTGAGTTCTGGAAGGACCCCGTACACCAAGAACCGCCCGCAGAACCAGCAGGTGTGTGCGCTTCCTATGTGTATGTGTGGCTGTGTGTCTTGCCGGACATGTGACCTGTGCCGGTCCTGTTTGCTGCATTGATCACCCCGGGCCTACTCTAACGGCTCGCCTGGAAGTTCCTCTGCTTACCATAGAGCAGCTCAGACAGTTTGTGTTTCATTTCAGGGACCTATGAAGCTGACTTTCTGTAGTTTCCAGGGTTCATCAGGACCAACCATAGAAATGGTGCCCAGTACTGCTCTACCCTTGGACCTGTGACCATAAAGATGAGCTGCTTACCTTTCTGTTGTGTTCCTCATTGCAGGGCGATGTCACTACCCTTCGGCGAGATTCCTGGGAAGCCATGAGTACCCCAGATCTTGTAAGAAACCAGTCCAGGTTAAGAGCATGTTCTGGCCAAATTCAAACTGCTCTGCCTTCCAGAGGATCTCGCCAGAAGGAGCGTGACGTCCGCCTCATCTAGGTGCCATGGTGGAAGATTGAGGCAAGGGAAGTATGTGCCCTGGAATTCAAAAGTCTGGCACAGAGAGATTTTGTAAAAGTGTCTTGCATGTGGATTCCAACACACTATTCGCAACGCACACGCTTCTACAAGGGGGCTGTGAGTATAAATGGGTGCTGCAGGGACCACCGGCTGGAAACCAGAGGTAATCAAAGTGAAAATGGGTCACCAGGTCATCATGGATCTCCAGAATGGTCTAAAGCATATCAAGCGATCACATCCTTAAAGCAGAACTTCACCCAAAAGGGGAAGTTATGCTTTTTTGCCTCCTCCACTTTCACATTTGGGGAGGAGGAAGGAGCGGTACCAGGCTGCGGAGATCTTTCAGCCCCTCCCCCGTGCAGCCTTTTGGTACACACAGGTCCCAGAAGGCTACAGGACCAGCCATAGGAAGAAGGGTCAGCCACACACTGGAAGATAGATGAATATAGTGTGTATTTATTAATCCATAGGACACACAAAATGCCAGGACATAAATACAGGACCTGTTATTCCTGTATTCATGTCCTGGTGTTTTGTGTGTCCTGTGGATTAATAAATACACACTATATTCTTCTATCCTGCGGTGTGCGGCTGACCCTTCCTATTGCATCGTGTGTGGCAGTGAGCCAGAGCCTCCACCTGTTGTGGATTGAGTGGTACACCTTTGTTCTTTGGATATGGGACCAGCTACGCAGTGCAGCATGGCATGCTCAGTAGGAAACCAGCTGTGAAGCCGCAAGCATTCACTACCAGTTTTCCTTACCCAGGATGCCAGCTCCTGCACCCGAAGCCAATTGATGAATCGGCTCAGGTGAGGACATTGCTGGATCGCTGGACTGGTAAGTGTTCTTATATTAAAGGCCAGCAGATACAGTATTTGTAGCTCCTGACTTTTAATTTTTTTAGAGGGAGACTGGAACTCCACTTTAAACAATAAGTTCACTTAAAAGATATAAAAAAAATGCAATTTTTTTTTTAGGGTAAAAAATTAGCATTTTTTTTTAAAGGAGCCTTTAAATTGCTGTAGATCGCTGGTGTCATGCAGGACTCCTGCATACTGTAAGTGTGAGCTGTCTGTCCATACATTGAACATCATATGAGCAGGCAGCTTTACACCAACAGGAAGAAATCAATGAACTACCAGAGCACTCAACAGCGCCGTGGTAGTTCATTGAGAATTACAAGCCAACAGCCGCAAATTGTCAGTACTGATTAATTCACATTACTTTGTAAATGGATGATGCATCCGTGTGGGTAGAGCCCCTCACAGCCACGCTCTTTTCAAAAAGCGAGAGTTGGTACAGAGAACTTTTCTATACTGCTGTCACACAGAGGGCTGGGATTGCAGAGTGGCTGCCGGAATGGGAATATGTTTCACCATAAGAAGGTGAACTTATCCTTTCAAATAGAAGCAATGTTTCAGAGCCTTGCAGTACCCCTTCATCAAGCACATGCCTGCAATGCTCTGAAACATTGCTTCTATTTTAATGATGCGATCGCTCAGTAAAGCTTTGGATCCCTCTGGAGATCTGTGGTGTACTGGTATTTTTGCTTTGTTCTAAAACTGGGGTGCTTCAAATTCATGTACCTGTCTAAAACCCAAATTTGATGCATGTTGTGTCATTTTTAGAATGCATGCAAGACACTTGAAAAATTTGTCTCTGTATGCGAAAATAAAGTTGCCCATAATTAGCTCAACTTTTGTAAGATACGAACTGTCAGTATTTTATTTTGAATATGGTGCAGGTGTTTTTGAACAGAATAGAAGTGGCAGAAATTGGAACTACCTGAATTGGGCGCACAAGTCGCTGTCAGAACCAAAATTGTCACTGATGTTTTTGGCACAACTTTTTTTTTTTTTTTCTTTTTTTTTTAATCGATTCTGTAGGTAGGCGGGTGTAAACGAACACAAGTCCGTTTATACCCACCTGTCCATAGAGCTGAACAGACTATCTGATCGGGTCTGCCTAAAAATACTGACAGGTGGACCTGATTGAATCTCCTACTTGAAGGGGGCCTTATTGAATTTCTCCCTATAATGTGTTTTTCTTTATGCTATATTTTGTAGGTACTATAAAGCTGGCTATAGATGAATCACAATTTGGCCGATCCAGCATGGATCAGCTGAATTTCTCTCTCACTGGAGAGAAGTTGATCTAGTGATTGGCTTCTGTTGAATGGGAATGTTGGGAAATTTTCACTTGACCAGCACATCAAACAGCTGCAGCACTGAGGAGTCTCTGCTGTCCGAATACAGTAGTACAGTAAAGATAATTTAATCTACCTCAAATTTCTGGCTTGCTGATTTAAAAAAAAAAAAAAATCCATTATTATTATACAGGATTTATATAGTGCCAACAGTGTGCACAGTGCTTTACAATAGCCATCTTCAGGCTTGAACAGACATAGGGCTTGTTTACACTAGTGGCAGCACTTGCCATCCCTCTGAAAAATGATCAGTGGTTGATTACTTTTTGGAGGGCAGGTGGCTGGGAGGCAGTATGTCTCCTTCTCAATGCCTTTTTAACTCTGAAAAGCTGCAACTCTGCATTGTAGGCCCATCTACCTTAATCTGTTGCTTTCGGCAGTGTTACTGCCCGTCGAAAATGACATGGGGGTAAAATTGTGGGCGGTGAGTGACTGATACAGCTGCCAGTCTAAGCATCTGGGTGGATCCCAACTGTAAAGTCAGGATCTTTCCAGATCCTGTACTGGCTGAGTGGCATCATCTGACACTGGGCTTTATCCTGTTGTCGGATGAAAATGGATCACAGGAATCCACAACAAAGTGCACTCCTGTGATCCGTAGGAGCAGTAGAGCCAATATAGCTTTGGCCCTACTTCTCCTTTTAACAGGCATGGGGGATCTATATCACCTCTCCATTCTTTTGAAGCTGACAACATAGCTCATGGTTGGTCAGCTTCTTCTCCAGCCACTGAGGCCAAGGAGCGATGGCGTTTAAATCCAGGATTATTCTTTGCAGGGAATATCAGTGAATTGATGCTTTCTCAACTCCTGCTTCTTGCCTTCCTGGCACCTGCCACAGTGGTCCAAGGCTCACAGGAGAAATGGGTAAGCCCAGGACACATGGTGGGTTGGGGGGGGCGGCACCTACCACAGGTTGAAGTGATCAGGCGTCTTTACCGCCCAAATTAATTTTAGGAGAGAGCCAATAGCCCACAGAGAAAGAGTAAACAAACTCCCAGAGTCTGTTTACATGCCATTACTATTCTGCTACATGGCAAGGAAAGGGTTAAAGGAAATTAAGTTAGAAAATGCAAGATGGAGTTAAATTACAGGAAGCAAGGAAACGAAGCAATAGTGCTAAATAGGTGTATATTTAGTGTAAATGTATCCATGCTTGCATTATAAGCTGCACACGGGCACATCTGATGGGAACAAGCTGTCAAATGTAGATGCTCTATCATTTCTATTTATTGTAAACCATTAAAGGAAAGGTTCACCTTTATCTAATCTACAAAGTTGTATGCTTTATTTGAACACTCTTTCATTCATTTATTTTTATTTTCTTTACATGTTGTGCATGGTTTTCCAACTGTATCCTCTCCACTCATTTATATTATGTAGTAAAATTGTATGGACTTGGGGGTGTGTTCTCGGCAGACACATGGTGGCTTCCTGAACATGTGCACATTTCTTATACCAGATAGTACACGTGGAAGTCCAAATCACAGTAATGTGTTTTATTGCTGCTTTACTGTTTAGTTTTTGCTAGATTACTGTCAATGGTAGTATTTAGATTTGATATTTATACATTTCTGAGGAATCTTCTATTTGTAGTGTTTATGCAGAATTGCATTCATTATTGTGGGAAATGTTGGTTTAAACTTTTTAAGATGCAGAAGTTTTGAGCATAGTAGTTATAAAGCTGGACTGTAGGCAAAACAGAAATATGTTTGTGAAACCCATCTCATGGCTTACCTGAACCTTTCTCTGTATTTTTCTACAGTGTCTCGTATGTTTAGCTGTCATGCCATCAAAGTTGTTTAAATATAGGAATGGGTTGTATACCATCTCATTGTATTTGTATATGCAGTGCTGACATCACATTAGTGCTGTGTAGAGCAGATGAAGCCTTCAGCATATTTTCCTCTTTCTCCGATCTGTGGCAAAGTATCCTAAAGTAGTAGTAAATGCAGCCCTGCAAGATTGTCATATTTGTGCTAGTATGCACATTATCTAATACTTGGCTTAAAACGAAGCCTTTTGGGTTACGTTCTGCTTTAAGCTCTCACACCTGTATGGACCGGCGCAGTTTTACATTTCTGATATAGGCCTGTGTATTAAAAACGTTTTAATTCCTTTGGACAACAAAGTAATACAATTTGTTTTTTAGTACAAGCAAGACTTTCTTTTGGTAATATTGTATTGTGGCCCTTTTTTATTCTTGTTATTACGACCAACTTGCTCTTGGCGTATAGACAGATTTTGTGATGGTGTCTTGCATGCGTTCCCGCTTGAAGACCGCAGTACATAGAAAAAATGTTGCGGTTT